GAGGATCGCTTATATTCGACTTCTGATTATTACAATGTGGGATTCAAGAAAGGAAGGTCAGGGAAGAAAGAAGGCGGAATTTACGAGAATTCCTACAGTTGAATGTTTTAGTCTCCACTTGATGCTTGATAGATCCGAATTTAAGTTGCCCGTATAGATGAAGTTTTCTAAGCTAAACAGACGGTTTGTTATTGAAGACTTGGTTTAACGAACATCAGAACGTTCGTAAAAGCCTAGCCACATGATGAATTTTCCTAAGAGACTAAATCTATAAAGAAATTTCGTGAGAAACCGACTGTGTAATGAAACAAAGAATGAATTAGGAACAGTTTTATCTTACAAATGCAGAACTGAACGCTTCCACACTGCATTATCATAGTTAGCCTTTGTTGTGTCCCTGATGATATTCGCCCACATTTTGACGGGGCCCGGAAACATACAAACGTTTATACAAATTCTAGGAGTAACGCATGACGACTTAATTACCTTTTCCACCGAAAATTCCTCGTTATGAGTGAAATTACATGTAGTAGAATCCACAAAGGAAAATTTTGAAATGACTGTAAGTCACTTTTAGCCATGTTGGAACGATTTTCCCCGAATTGTGGCCGACGAATTGCGGGCTACAAATTGCGTAAAATGTACGGGAAGTCAATGACATGCTTAGCTAGGAGAAAGTGTTCTTTAAATGCTTGTTAAATATTTGTTACATTAACTCACCTTTCTTCCTCTGAACAGAATTCTACCACCAAATCTTTCAAATGTTCAGCTAAAAACAGATAGTTTTCGAGATACAACCCTATCATGGGCTTCAAATAATACTAAATGTTTTGTCACATACCTTCACAGCAGTCGCAAAAAGATATCGATACAATATCAGTCTTATGCCAGAAGTGTGACGTCGTTGACTTTGCTGATTAATTTTTGTCTGAGCTGAATGGTTTATTGACGTCAGCAAAAGACGTCAAAAATAGATATATTTGTTTTAACTCGGTTATTGTGGCTTCAAAAAAGAACCTAAGCCTTGAATATAATCATTTTTTATTGAACCAATCTACCATCTTTTTGTATCACCTTAAGCCAGATGGAGTAGAGGTAAAAGGATCTGTGCCATCTTCCACAAGGCGGATCAAGCTGTACATTTCTGCAGAACAGAGGTCAATTTTTTTCGCTCTTCGGGCGAGTGAAATGAGGGATTCGCGTCTCTACTTGCCTAGACAAGCCAAAAAACCGCCTCTTCTGTAGGTTATCTTCTTGTGCTGTTAAACAACTACTTTTGAACATTTTCAAAGAGTTTTCGAGTATAGCGTAGCATGGTACGCAATACTGGCGATATTAGTTAAACCTTACGGTTTCGTATCTTTTCACTGGTCTGTTTTCTGTGTTTTTGTCGGAAACCTTAGGAATACAGAGATTCAAAGGTTGTTTTGGTGAAGAAGAAAGTTTTTACAAAAATTGAGATGGAGAATGGAATTAGAGGTGGTGATTTTAAAAGAGATGTGCTGGAAAGAAAGAAAAAGAAAAGAAGAACAAAGATGGTCAGTGAAAGTGATATTCAGACCGATTAACTCTCAGGACCAACAGAAATAAAGGAGGTAAGTTTCTAACGAAACTGTGGTGCTAGGTCGATAGGGGGTATGACCTGATAATTTGGTTTTATTGGCCACTGTAAAGAGTTTCCCAAGAGAGTCTCTCTAAACTGTGGCCTTACCTTGTCAAGATACACAAGTAAAAAAACAGTCCCACGCAGGACATTTGACCAACAGCTTGCCTTTCCAGATTCCTACGAAAAATATTATTCAGGTAAAGATTATTTTGAATTGTTTCAGCACACAAATCATGATTGACAAGTTTATATTATAACCAGTGACGTTCGCACAAAGAAACAGCGAAAAACAAGGAAATAATTTAGACTTCCTGTATTAGTGCAACAATTGTGGATAAAAATCAGCGATTGTTGTACAAAGTTTTCAGATCATCCCTTCAAAATAGAGGTTTCTAAAGCCGTATTGTCAACGCATCGGCTTTCGGCACACTGCTGAAACTCGGAGAATATCTGAGATAATGAGTTTAATTGTATTTTGAGGATAAAGGTAAAGACAGACCGGCACGGACTCCCCAGGTGGCTTTCGTGGTCGCAATTTACGCACTTCTTTATGTGCTACCGACCACGTAAACTATGGTTTCATCAAAGGCGAAGCAATAACATTGCTTAAAACTAACTCTTCGGAAAAAAAAAACACTGAAGAAGGCCCTCTGAAATTGAAACAATGCCTCAAAGTAAGAGGGTAATTAGAAAACATCATAGAAAGGTCTCTGTCAGGGGTCAACTATGCCTTTAGACAATCGGCTCTTACACATACACAAATGTCAAAAGGTCACGAACGTTTATTGCCTTTTGTCACAGCGTACCACCCGGCAGTTAAAATAAAAACAATTATTGATGAAACATTGGAGCCTGATACACAATCAGCCCTCGCTGACAACAATTTCTACAAAACCTCCGATTATCTCTTACAAAAAAGGGAAAATCCCTCAAAGACACCTGTGAGAGTTAAATTATAATTTGAAGGAAATAATGGAACGCGACCACAAAAGCCACATGGGGAGTCCTTGTCACTCTGTCTTTATATTACCTTTATTCTGATGCGCTTCAACGGAGACTGAGAAAAGGCTTTTTGAGATGCCAAAGGCAATTGAACTGAAACATCAGGTGTCTGCAACGTTTCAGTTTCTCAATGAGTTATGAAGTAACAACAGCGGCGAAATGTCGGAGTTTGATTCCGAGCTATACTTCCGAGTGGCTTTCGTCGCTTTTCTTATTCCTCTAGGTTCCGGTGAGTTCTCTATCATTTGTAATCTGAGCATACGAGTTAAGATCTCAAAGACATGAAATAATTAAATTCCATTTTATTGCGTTCAATTAACAAACTGTCGAGTCCGACCGAAAAATGTCAAGTTAATTCCAACATCTGACAAGTTATTTTATTTTGACAGATTGAGTTTGGGAGAATTCTAGTGGCGATTTTCAAACCTATCTCGCATAGTATGAGTTACTTCCTGTTCAGAGGCAACAACGTCTCGTCGACCTCGTTGCTCCTCTTTTCTTAGTTAATTTATGAAGCGGTAACTTCAAAGAGATGCGAACTTTTGCCGGAAAAGAACTAGCTCGCTTCGTTATCGATTAAACAGTTTATGCAACATATCGAGCCTTTTCTTGAATCTACGAGTTGTCTTATTTCTTGAACACAAAGTCGTGTCATTATGCAAATTTGGCACCGATTTCAAAATACTTCATCAAGTTTCCATTTCGGTGTACAAGCTAGTTCGATACATTTATTGCCATTTAGTTGCTGCTGAAGACAGTGAGAAAAAAATACAATAACGATTATCCAGTAAACCAGCGCGAGCCAAGTCAAAAGGACTGATAACTCCAAGAACAAAGTAAACTGAAAGTCTCAATGATCTTAATATGTTTGTCGTGACTTAGCGTATTATTGTCGACTATTGTTTTAACAAATGAGCAGGCAAACACGGCCAAAGTGGACAACTGTCTGACCAAGCGTTGGAATGAAGACATATTCATCATTTTATTCAAACATTACAACATAATCAAATAGAAAATACAGTTTAAATTGACTAAAGAATGAACGCAGCTCGCCTCAGACGTAGATGATTAAGTATTCGATGTATATTCATGAGACACGACACGAAACAACTACAAAATAAACAATCATAAAGTGTTAATAGATATTTCATTCCTGTTAACTCATAACATTTGTTTTAACGCCGAGAAACTGAGATGAGCAAAGACCTTTCTTGGAAATTCCGAATCAAGGTATAGCTCTGAAACAACCTTTAATACCAGACCAAGAATTTGGAAAAGTGTTTCAGATTAAAGTGACTTGTTGCTGAGAGGGTCACAAAAAATATCTCGAAAGTTATTCTTAAGGCATAACCAAAATTTTCGTTCTAAAGTGAAATTTTTAAATGTGCCCAATTAAAAATGTTCTGGATTATACTAGGTTCAGTAAATAATAGGTCGCACTCCACCAATCGCTAGTCCAATCGATGATGTCATTGATAAATGTGTCTTGTTAAATGTGCTCTTTGGGGTTTCGTTAACGACCGGTCGAACGACAGAATGTTATAGAACAATACTGTAGACCATACGGTTGTTGCAACACTAAAGGCCTGTTTACAAGAAAGTGGGGAGCCCCAGGGAATTGAGGTAACCCGCCTAGCTGTCGTTGAAAAATAGTCCGTGTTTACAACCAATCCTTCAAACCCGGGGTCCCGGGTTGAGGTTTTTAGCTTGCTACTATAAACTGGGATCGCTCAATCCCCTTCCACAGTTCACAATGAGCAAATCATTACAAGATTTAGCCTTTGGAATTTGGGATTAATCGGCTACAAACTGCACTCGCACTATGGTCTTTTATCTCTCTTAGCCTTTGATAAATTTTCTGGTGTAACACTTAAAATCATGTGACTACCGGTTTTCTTATTAATCACGTGACTAACTTTAAAAGCTGGGTTTTTTCCATCCAAAATCCAAGACCATGGCATGGTTACTAAGCATGCCACATTTAACATGGAGGACAGTAATCTCATTCTAAACCGAGTTATTACATCTGTTTCATAACTTAAACGATCATAAAACACCGAGGTATCCTGGTAAATAACTGGTTAATTTTCGGGCTGAGTATATTCTCGATAGTAGAAATATAAAACTAGATAGTTGTTGTTTTTGTGTCTGTGAAGCGAATGACCTCAATTTCTAGATATATCTAGATTTTCATGTTTGTAGAGAGCACAAATCAGAAGAGTCGGAAGCTTGTTAGAAATACACATCTTGGCAGGAACAATGAAGCAAATATGTTTTCTTGCGATCAAAAACTCAAAACGAAATCTACCCACGACTATTCAATTAGCTTGAGTCAATATGGTTTTATGTCTAATTTTATAACTGTCTGTTTTATCTTTTAACTTTTTTATAGGGGCATGTATCGATTTGGATCTTGGTTTGGAAAACGAGAAAATTTCAGATGGTAATATAACCGCTTCTTCAGTACAAAATGCTAGCACACCAGCCACGAATGGTAGACTGAACTACACATCAGGATCATCATGGTGTGCAGGAACAAATGATACCAACCCATATCTACAGATTGATCTACAGACACTTCATATCATCTGTGCTGTGTCTACTCAAGGGAATTCTCAAGCAGATCAGTGGGTGAAGACCTACAAGCTACAATTTTCCATAAATGGGACAACTTGGACGGACTACAAGGAAGCTGGACAAGTTAAGGTGCAATGTTTTCTAAGTAATGACAATTTGAGTACAAAAATACAACTTGTTTTACATGTATTTCATGTGATGAAAAATACATGAACATTTTCCTCACAAATCAGAATTTTTTGTTCTAACATAGGCTGCCTTTTGTAACAATCTCATTTTTTCTTAACCAAGTCACCAATTTACTTGAAGCCTACAGTAATTTTCATTATGTATCTGTAATATTATTTAATGTTATAACTTTTGAAAATCTTAGGTCTTCATGGGGAATGATGACAGAAACTCAGTGGTGAAGCATGTTGTTTATGAACTGCTGACAAGATATGTGCGTTTCCTGCCACAAACACACCAGGGTAGGGTGTGTATGAGAACAGAGGTGTTTGGAGTGAAACAAATGCCAGGTATATGTGCAGGCATGATAATATTCCATAACCAAAGGAGATCCAATGTATACATTTATCATATTGCTGGCAATGCATGTGGGCAATATGAAGTGAATCCTGTGTTCTGATTGGCAATCTGAGTGGGCAAGATGAGCCAATCTTGCCCACTCAGGATTGCTGTCTTTGATCCTGTGCAAGAAGAAGTAGACTTATAAAGTTATTAACTTTTGCATAATGTCAGTGATAAAGTTGCAAAAAGCAGCAGAAGATAGTCAAAACCAAAAAAAATAGCAACCTATTTGGGTTTATTGTACTATGAACACAGTTAGCCTTTTTTCCTGGCTCTCAAAATAAACAAGTCATTCTTGATTCTTATTAAAGCAAATATAATGTTTAGTTATATAATAAATCCTTTATTATTGACCAGGCTCGTTCAGTTAAGATGGCTGGATATTAACTTCAATTGGTTATTTTTTCAATTTTTGTAGACCTTGACTTTATCTTGGTTGATAAAATTATGAAGAAAGGAACTTGGCCAGTATACAGCCATCATGACCTCACACTTGGTCAATAACCCATTTATATATGCAGATTTTATATTCTGGTGTTCTTTGATAGTTTTAGAGAGGATTTGCTTGCTTAACAAGTTCACTGTTCAAAATTAAGTTTCTTTGAGATTATCTTTGTGGAAGGTTTTGTCAATGTTAAGTGAAATATAGACAAACAGAGGCTTGACAAATTGTAGTATGTTGCAATTGTTATATCAGCTGAATAACTAGGCAAAAAGTAGTCATTTTATAACAGAAGTGAGGAAATGATAGAAATAGCTTTAATCTGAAATGGGTAAATCATAAGCTATTGCAGGATTGAACTATAACATGAAACTAATTGGCACAAATATCTCCTACATGACACTATTTGGTTGAGAGAAGTGTAGGTACAGTACAACTACACATAACAAAAAATGTGTGGAAGGAAAGCTAAGAATTTTGGAAAATAACTACACAACTATTTTTCTTTGTTATACAATCTCTTGAGTGGAATCACTCTGTTACAATGGTAAGTTTTTCCTGGCCCATGTGGTAACATTTTCTTCAATATTTGTTCACAGAGAACCTTGCCCTGAGGAAGGCTACAGCTCAGTCTTCAACATTCAACAATACTGCTGACAATGTTTATGGTGTATCTGGAAACGCAGTGGATGGAAATCCTGACACTAACTTTTTAAAAGGGAGCTGTTCACATACAACAAAAGAAAACCCCAGTTGGTGGAGAGTGGACCTGGGTTCAGACCATGTTGATGTCTCTGAAATTCATATAGTCAACAGGTTCTCACAGCACGTAGTTACTGAAGACTACAAAATAACATTTGGTGAGTTTTGTTATCCTTTAATTGAATGTAAGGTCAACCATGCATACATCACCTTATAATCAGCTGCTAAACAACAGGCCAGTTTGGATGTTACAGGAATTTTTGAAACCTCGGCTAAGCTGTATTGACCTTGTTATTAATCAGCCCAGATGTTTTTTACTTGTCATTGCTCAGTCAATACAAGGCCTCAGTTTAAGATTTTCTAGCAAGGTTTCTTCTTGGTTACTTGTAGAGTTCAGTTAGTACATGTAAATGGGACTGGAGTACTAGAACCAGGGTACTCAAGTGTCATCATTTGTCTACACTGTACCTTCACATGGGACACTCAGAAGTTTACCTCCAGTAATAATTTTTTTACCTGGCCACTCTGTTAATGCTATTGTGGCACTTACAAAATTAATGTGATTAAATCCTTGTTTTGGTAGTTTTAATTTCTTTTTAATATGCCAAATAACTTAATCATGTTTGCCACATGGAACCAAACTCTACAAGTAATTCTGACTTTCAGTGCCTCATAATCTGCAGGTGGCTCTGATGATGTGTCACTTAACTCCCACTGTGGAGGACTCTATGATTTTCATAACTTCACTGCATCAGCTGTTTGTTTTACCAATCCACTGAAAACTGGTAGATATGTAGGGATTTTAACCACAAAGAAACAAAGTCTTCAGCTGTGTGAGGTAGAAGTCTATTCACGAGGTAACTTTTCACTTACTCTTTATACTAAACTTAATGTAGTGGTGAAGTCACTTTTCCTCTTTTAAAAATTGACTCATCCAAGACTTTTTTATATATCTCAAAACATATACATATTCATGTAGTTTGAATATACTTATGTTTGCATGTTTAATGTACAAACTGTATTTACCATAATTACTACAGCCAAAAGTCACACTGAATTTTAAGTAGCACAAAAGCCTTGAAAAGTACACCTGATTTTATAATTATATTGATAAACAATTGAATGTAATCAAAAGTAGATAAATCAACAAGTGCCATTGGAATATGTTCTTGTAGAGTGGATAAATCAAGACTCTTGTTTAATCTCACAGAAACCCTTTAACCATAAAGATCTTAGAAAAGTTTTGTTGGGAATTATTTTATAGTCATGCTTTTAAAAAATTTCTTTTGATAAGTAATCTAAATATAGGTTTATTTGCTATTTGAATATATGTATATTAGAACACTTTTCCTTGATATTTGGGTCTTAAAATTTACCTTTAGTCTGTTGCCTTAATAAGTGTCTAAGAATGGTGCAATTTATCTTCCAGTATGTCAGCAATTTTTAATCTTTAATCAATTAATCAAGCAATATAAGTATGTCTCTATTAATTTTCAAGTTAATGATGACCAGTTGAATATGTATAGTATTACATTGTAGCTTAAGAATGGAGTCTGTACTAAGTAGAAAAAATGATATAATTACAGTGGAGGTATTTTTTTAATTTGAAAATTTAGACCTACACCTGCACATGATTTTTTTCCTACATCAAAATGATTGCAGTTTGGTGTCTTTTGCTTTCTAGCTTTTTGGCAAAGGCTGGTATATCTGTAGGCTGTCCAAAATGTAATATCTACAATTAACCAGTTTTTTAAAAATACTCTTTGTTTTAATTTTTCCATATAATGTACAGTGTAACAAACATATTCATTACAACTCAATCCAACTGTCATTCAGTGATCAGTATGTAGACAGTGATCATCTTTGTCCAGGGAAACATTTCCTTTTCTTTTGTCTACATTTTCTCCCAGAAAATCTGGCATTTCAAAAACCAACATATCAGCACTCATATGCAGTAGATGGTGGCACAAGTGATAAAGCAGTTGATGGAAATAGCAATATGAACTTTGCAGATGGATCATGTACATTTGTGGCACATTCCAATTTTCCATGGTGGAGAGTGGATCTAGGACAAGATGAGTTTGTGACTGAAGTGTATCTAGTCAATATAAAAGCTGTGACTCGCCTATCAAAATTTGAGATCAGAGTTGGTAGGTTAATACACATACAGTAACTAATATTTTTGAAGTGGTCAAAGCACTCTTTGCTTAATGTCTTCAAGAAAAGAGGGGAAATGGTACACTGTGGTTTCTGGCATTGAGAAAAGCTGGATTGGACTGGATCGGATCACAGACAGGATAATGGAACAAATCACAGGTGACATAATGGGTCACATCACAGGTTGCATGATGGGTTGCATCACAGACCAAAAAAAGTTTTGAAAAATAAAAAATATATATATATGTATAATTGTTTTTAAAATAAAAATAAATAAAAATAGGATTGAAAAACTGAAATATGTTAATTTAAATTAGAAATGTTACATGACAAGCCTGAATGAAATCAATAGTTGTGAAAATACATAAATTGCTCACATACACTCCAGCTGTCATATCTAAACCATTTTTACTCTGTACCTTGCCTCTTTACTCACATGTGGTTAGTGATATTGAATAAAAGAAAAGTAGCACATGAGATGATATTAAAAAAGAGAAATAAAAACTGATTGGTGAAATAATACATACCTCTCACTTGCCTTTGTCCATTGCAGCACTCCACAAAACTCCTTGACACAGCTGTAAAAGTGACTACATGCATGGAGTTTTAGGGCAAAAAAAACTTCCAGCGGGGTTTGCGCTCCATTATGTCACACAGATTTTATTTTGAGGTAATTTGGTATGATTAACAAGTTGATAGAGTTAATTGGCCACCATTAAGTGTTAGCCCTTTGTCAGAGGGAAACATTCCTTTGTCATTCACTCTGATGAAGGGCCAACGCTCATCTTTGAAGATCGTAACAATGGCCAAGTTAATCACATTATCAGTTCAGTTGATAATACCAAATTACCTTGTTATACTCTCCCACCAACACAGCACCACGGTTTCTTCAGAAACTTGCTCCCTTATCCACTTAATCTTATATTTTATTTATTATTATTATTTAAAAAACAATTTGACTTTTTGCAATCTGTGATCAGACCCATGATGTGACTTGTGATGCGACCCATGATGCAACCCATGATCCACCACATGTTTCAATCCTTGATCAAATTCATGATCTGATGCAGTCTGATCCGGTACGATCCTGGTTTTGTCAACACTACTGTGGTTTCCACATCCTTGTCAACCCTCAGCCACAACTATTTCTGTATGTACATGTATCTTATAATTGCTGTTAGGTTCAGATGTTGAAGTTTTGATTTGACAGTTGTACACATACATACCTGTTCAAGGTTGTGCTCTACTGGTGCCTGGTTGCCCAAAGGAACTGAGTTTTAGCTTCAGGGAACTGAAAAACATTGCCATTTTGCTGAGCAGGGTGGCTGGCTGCGCTCTTTTCACTTTGTTTTCAAGTTGGATGTATGATTACACTTATTGGCTAAAATTATAATTTTTTTTTATTGTTCCACATGATTTAACAATAAATGTGTAAAATGAGTCTCTGAGAAATGGAACAAATGTAAATATGTGCTATTTTTTTGATTAAATGTAATACTTTATAATCCATTTTTATGCTTTTGATTCAAATCACTCATACATTTACCAGTCTTTGAATGAACTATAGTTTATGAAAGTTTTCCTCTATGCAAGTTAGTCATGTTTTCTTGTCACTTGATATATTATTGTCTTCACTGAGTTTTGTGGCTTGTACGCAGTTTGTTATATTTTTCCTGATTAAATTCAGTGATGATGAAATGACTGCTGCCAAATGAGAGCAAGGAGGAATCTTTATAATTTCAAGGAACAGGAGCAGTTTTGATAGTTGAGGGGCTACCTTAAAGTTTAAGTGGGAGCTTAGTCTTGATGATATGTAAAATAACTGTCAGACAATCATCAGTATTGGCAGTGATTAGCTTATCACAAATAATGATACTAATTAAATAGCAGTATCTCTTTCTGGTAATTGGCTTGTATAGTACTCAGCATCATGCCCTTGCTATGCATAACTTTTGTAAGTCACTCTAGCCTACACACTAGAAAAAAGGTGGCTTTTATTAAGGCAAAAGGTCACCAGCGAGGTAAATCTTGCCTGTTTTGAAAGTGAATATCATTATTTGATCAGTATATGGATTATTTTGCAGTCATCTCTTTGAAGTTGTTTATACTTTTTAACAGTGATTTATTATTATGGTATTCTTTCAGGCACAGTATCAAGTATTACTGATACTAGTATGACTAGTCCCAAATGTGGTGGGGCAGCTACTCATTACCTTCCTAAAGGAGTAGGTTTGTCATTCTTCTGCCATCCTAGTTTGAAAGGAAGATATGTCACCATCAGGGATGTTAGGGGAGGTCATTCGGGATTCAATCTTTGTGAAGTTGAAGTGTATTCAGAGCAGAGAGGTATGGTATATCTGGATATTTTGAAGAACTACTATTTACTGCTACCTTATTGAGTTGGGGTTCCAATCTGCATTCTCAGGAAAATTTGCTATTTAATTTCTGTATGTAGACATGTAGTTACCTTAATATTGTTTGATAAATGTAAAGTTGCGTATAGCAGATAGGTGTGATTAAGTTTGGTTTAAAAGTCAATATACATACATGTACATGTATAAATGTATGTCATGACCTATTTAAACATAAATGTTAAAAATTAAAAATGTGGCCCACCTTAAAACTTTTATTATTAACCTGTAAATCAATACAAAGAATCATGGAGTGGTTGTGTAGTTAGCTGATGGTGTAAACAGACCTCATGATAGAAATATTTCAGTGGTTACAAGTAATCTCTGTTCATGAACTGGCAATTTGTAAGAATCCTGGAGCAGTGTGTTATTCTGGCCCCTAGAAATTACAGATGGTGTTTTTATCTTCAATTAAAGGCCAAAAGTTGACAAAGTTAATTTATTTTTTTCATTTTTCAAGCCTTGAGCCTTGATATCAACAACAACTGGTCTTTACACAAATACCTCAAACTACTGGTAAATCACTTGAGGCATGGTTAGATGGTGCAGCACACTTGTGATTGTTACTGTACATGTGTGATAAACTGATTCTCTGAGTTGAAACCAAAGTTTATGGTAATCATGATTGTCTTTTAACAGCATGTCATAGTCAGGCCATTGGTGTGACCAGCAGTGATGCAATTCCAGATGACAGCTTCTCAGCCTCATCATCTTATAATAATAACCGCAGACCTTGGGTTGGTCGTCTGAATCTAAATAGCTGGGGTTGGTTACCAGAGACTAACACTAATCCTGCTGACTACTTACAAATTGATCTGCTGTATGATTATGTTATCTGTGCTGTAGCTACCCAAGGAGCTGATGGTGTTGATCAGTGGATAACAAAGTACAAGATTCAGTTATCATTAAATGATACCATCTTTTACAGTTATAGAGAAAACAATGCTGAGAAGGTCAGTTTGATCCAATTGAAATATCATGCTAACCTTGGTTGAATTTTCTTTCATATATTTTGTGTATGTAGTTACGTAGAAATACACTTAGTCAAGCCTAATTTTATGCAAGGCAGAAGAATAATGGACAGTCATGTGAGAGCATTTTGGTATGTGTAAATTTGAACCAGTTTTATTACCAGGTCAAGTATTGGTGGAAATGAGTGAAAAAACTGAAATGAGCTGTATGTATCAGGTTTTTCAGGCTTTGAAATGCTTATTTTTCAAGGTGTAATTTAGACCAGTGTATGAAAACCTCCTGACATGAAAAGTTGATGTGGCTCACAGCTCTAATTTGAAGTGACTCATTTCGCTTGATCAAATGATTTAAACTGTTTTTCTTAGAATTACAGTGGTAGATTATCTCCTTTCATTACTGTTTCTGTGATGGTGTTTGTTATATTTTTATTGGTTGGAATGTAGGCTTGTTTGTTAATTCAAAGCCAAGGAAAACTGATGTCACTTGTGCAAGGAAGGTTCAAAATTTCATGTGAAGGGAATAAACTTGTCAGTGTCTATTATTGTTTATTTTCATTTATGGACACATGACTTGCTTTTGTGGAAAGCATCATTTATTAGTTTTGTGTAATCTTTGATATTTTAGGTCTTTAATGGAAACTCTGGGAGAAAAGATATAGTAAAACATAGTCTTGGGGAGTATGCTTTGGCAAGGTTCATCCGTTTTGTGCCAACAGAGTACTATGGTTATAAGGCATTGAGAGTGGAAGTTTATGGAGTTCTCCTATCTACAGGTACCAATTCTATTTTCTCTGTACCTTATCATTGAAATCCTACAAGTGTTGCAAAAAGGGGAGGGGAATATTATGACTTACCTTACTTAAAATGTTAATAAAATCACATAGCTTATCGCACAAGTGGTATACATTTGAGTGATATATGTATATGTTATATATTTGTAAGTTATAATCCCTTAAGGAAATGACAGATTACCACTTAGTCACTTTCTAAATGGCACTCATTTAATCCATCAGGGATTCATGTAGTCACTGAGATTCACTTGATGTCAGACTTGAAAGAGCTTGAAATTCTGACTTGCAAAGTTTTAGGGAGGACACAAAAACTGTGGCAGTACAAAACTAACACTTCATCATTTTCAACAACTTTCATCTGAGTTGATCAATTCAGTTCCTTTATAGGCACATGACTATTGTGAAACTGTATTATTAAAATACCTTATAATCATTTTTATTCAACAATCCAGTTCCATCACAAGCTGCAGGTAACTTCACGGTGACTGCAACCTCATCTACCAGTATAAGAGCATCATGGACATCACTGCCAGAATATGCCAGACATGGAAATATAACAGGATATAGGTTGTCTTACAGACAAAAGGGCTCAGTGGACAATTTAGTTATGGAGTCTGTTAATGGAGTTGCAACATTAACTAAAGATTTCACTAATCTTAACAAGTATACCAAATATGAATTTCAAGTGTTGGCCATTGGATCTCATGGTGAGGGACCAAAGAGTTCTGTAGTGGTTGAGCAGACATTGGAAGATGGTAAGAAGCTAAAACTGAATAATGTAGGTGAATTACGGTCAACTCGCCGACGTATAAAATCGAGTAGAGACGTCGGCGAGTTGGTCCTCAATCCAATACAACTTATTAGAAGTTAAACATACAGAAAAGTAAACGATATTTAGTAAAAAAAACACTGGCTTTCTAGACAAGATATTTAGTAAAAAGCAATTCTTTCTATTTGCGACAAAGTTTATAAGGATCTCAAGGTGAATAAAGCGAAGTAAACATCACCAATGACTCTAACAGCTTCAGACGCGAACGAGTTATTGTGTGACAACAACACTGAAGACTCATCATGACAATCGGTCAGATTTTTTAAGAAAACTTGGCTTTCTAGATACGATCTTTAGTGAAAAGTAATTCTTTTTATTTGCAACAAAGTTTATAAGAATCTCAAGGCGAATAAAGCAGAGTAAACATCGCCAATGACTATATCCGCTTTGGACGCGAACAAGTTATAACTCGTTCGCGTCTTAAGCTGTTATAGTCATTGGTGATGTTCACCAATGTTCACCAATGTTTAAGCTTCTGTTTGATGTTCACCAATGTTCACCAGTGTTTTTTTACTAAATATCGTTTACTTTTCTGTATGTTTAACTTCTAGTAAGTTGTATTGGATTGAGGACCGACTCGCCGACGTCTCTACTCGATTTTATACGTCGGCGAGTTGGCGTCGGCGAGTTGGTCCGTCGGCGAGTTGACTGGATACCATGTAGGTATGTAAGAAACATTTTTTCCAAAAAACATGTAGCTTTCTTTAATGAAGCTGGAACATACTTCACATGTACATCTTTCCAGGTTTATTGTATCAATATTATGCATGATATTGTCAGAGTTAAGCTATTATAAATATTAGTATAAGAAGTTAACTGCCCTCTACAGTTCAAGTAAACAGGTAAAAGTGCGTCATCTAATTTGTACATTTCTTCTGCAAAAAATAATATAAATAATAACCTTCATCTTCCATTTGTTTACTACTTTAGCACCAAGTATTCCTTCAAACCTTTCTCACTCTGAGATAATACCAGATAAACCAGTTGGTCCAAAGATAAAGCTCACCTGGCATAAGCCAGCGGAAGAAAATGGAATTATCAGGAGTTACACTGTGTTTTATAGTCACAATGAAGATCCTCATAATATTCACACTGAAACCTTAGGAGGAAACATATTAAGTTATACAGTGGATGTATTAGGTGGGGCCACCTATCAGTTCCACGTCAGAGCTGCAACAATCAAACCTGGACCAAATGCAACCTTGTCTGTTACTGTTAATGATTATGGTAGGTATAGATCTGAAAAGATTATGATCAAGAGGCCAGTTCTGATATACTAAAATTCTAACATAGCTCTGTTGCTAAGGGGAATAAAACTTAAGAAACTAATTATTCATCCCTCAACCTCCATGTGATTTCCTTTATTTTATTCCCCCTAACCCTCGGTGCCAAGTTTGAATTTTATTACATTGAAAATGGCCTGTTAAATTCACTTTCAACTTTAATGTTATTTGATAAGTGTAGACAGTAAGCGATATCAAGGTGGACAAGTAGAGAACGGCTGCATTACAGGAGTGGTACAGGAAGGACTCTCCTTATCAACTCCAAGTTCTATCCAATATACATGTATTTTTGAAGGACTGGTGAACATGATTGTATTCAACATGAATGACTACATACCTAAAAAAAATAAAAATGTGATGAAGGAGAAAGGAGGGAAGAATTACTGAAATACAGTTTAGATAAACTTTGAGGATAAAGTTTTGATGAAATATGATTTAGAAATATTATTTGTTAAACTTTTTGTCCAATGACTGACAGCTGACATTTATCTGAGTAAGATAAGTAATAAAGATAGTCTTAACCTTGTTTTCATTCTTTCAAACGTCATTCTTTTAATTACCACTTTGCTAAAGGAACCGAAGCACCCAATAACATAAGAGCACGAAACCTTGACACCACAGAGATAACCCTAGCATGGGAAAGACCCCAGCTCGATGTGGGGGAAGAGGTCAAATACAGGGTAAGTTAAATCGCATTTTACTTATTAAAAAAAAAAAAAACGGAGGCAAATACAGCAATCAAGCAAATCTTAAAACACAAAACATATGGAAAAAGAACAATAAGAACTGTACAAACAAGAAAAAGGTACGTTATCTTCTTTAATGTGCACACATGAAGATATCGTAGCTTTATTGAAAACTGTTCGATTTTTGTACTATTTTTGTCTTCTCAATTTTTTTTTTTTAATTGAATACATAATTTGTGGAAATAATGGTTGTCACGTTACATTGTGTAACTATTGCGATTCGAAATTTTCGTGTTTTAAAACTGTTCAAACCGGTTTTGTTTGATTGCTAAGGTGAAGTACTTTGGGACTAAGTCTTACAATAAAAGTTTCACAGATGAAGGCATCGTAGATGTGAAAGTGACAACAGTATATACTGTGGAGAATCTGGTACCAGGAACTAGATACAGATTTCAGGTTTATGGAATCTCTGAATGTGGAACAAAGGGGCCCGCTACATACTTGGACGAAGAAACAAGATTGAAGGGTAAGGAAATACAAGCTAGTAATCTAGAGATAAGTGTGTTAATGATTTAGTGTGCAACCTTTGGAGGATACATGCATTATATGGAAGATTATTAAATGTAAATAATGGCGTGAAATTCGAACTAGTTGCTCGAGATCAAAAGCCATGTGATGTTTACAGGGCTAACATCGGTAAATTATCGGTATTAATTGTATGTCTAAAGACTACTTCTCAACTTTTCCGAAAAGAAAGTCGTGTGTTATTGGCTTAAAGGATTAAAATATTTGCAATTTACTTTGGGAACTGAAATTCTAATTCTTTTCAAGGCTGAATGGTTTTAAGGTATCTTAGAATTAAGGTTTAATAGGTCAAATGTTGGGTAAAGGACTCGTTTTCTCCATGTTCACATTCTTGTGAAGAGGGCACATTTTGTCGTCGAGAATTTGCTCTTGTGAACTAATCACTTATTTCTGAGAAGCAAGCAATGTATTCAACTAGCTATCACATAAAATTCAATGTAACATGATCTGAGTTAAGAAACAAGAGCGCATGTTTATTATTGAGGTTGATTTATCAAATGTTATAAACGATCTTGTAATTGTATGTGTCAGGACTTTTTTTTTCATGAAAATTGAGCTTTGAGATAGCTTTCTTTTCAAAGGAAAATTTCTCTTTGGAAAATGATGCTTATCTTCTAATCTGCTTAGCTCCAGTGGCACCAGCTGCATTGAAAATGACTACTGTAGAAATCTTTGATTTAACGGCTGAAATTGATCTGTGGCCTGCTGAACAAAGGAATGGTCCAATAAGGTGATGGTTTTATAATTTGTGTCACAGATTAGCTAAAAGCATAAACTATTAATGATACACTCACCTGAGAAGGCCACAATTCTTGCTTTCACTGTGCACATAATGATGTTAATCTTGTATACATAGTCCATGATATGAGAAAGATACAACACCTTAATTAGGTCTTTCGAACTAAAGTTGCAATACCAGACTGGGTAAAAATCTCCTTGTTGACTGTAACGTTAACAAAACGCCAGTTCTGCAATCAACAACATTTCTGTTCAGGACTATTCTTCCCAAGACGATTTGACTGCAGAACTAGCTACTATATTGAACACAAACACATAACTGTCTTGCAAAGTCTTTCGCAAAAGTTCCTAAGTGCTTAATTCAAGTCATTAAAGGCCATCAAACAGCCACCACCTTTCAATACGGCGATGACCGCAATGATGTTGACCACAATTTGTTTATTTTCAATGTTTTAGTGCTTACCAAATAATCATTCTTAAAGTCTCTGATTGTGTGCAAGAGCTTCCCAGGGATTTTGATTTGAAGCTGAAAGATTTGAACGACAAAAACTTGAACTTTTATCCGTTTTACGTTGCTGCGGAATTCGAAAATGATCCTGTACGTGAGAAGTCTTGGAAATTTACAGTTGGTGATGGGAAATCGTATGGAACTTTTATCAACAAAGAACTGAGGAAAGGAGAAAACTATTTTGCCTATGAAAGAGCCATAACTCGTTTCAATGGTGTAAGTAAATTTCGGTGTTGTTTAATTGTTAATTGTTCTTTAATTTAGAGTTGATAATCTTAACATACTATTCAATTGACGAAGAAAAATATTTTAGACCAAACCATGTTCTTACCTACATCATACTTGCTGTTAGGGCTAAATCTCATTTCATTACATCAGTGAATTTTTGATATGTGTTTTTAACTTTTTGACCATGTTTGGTTCACTTTCTAGCAAATTTTGGAAGGATATGCCAGTAAAGTGGCCTTGATATCTGTCACACCAGGTATGCGAGTTAACACTCACGTGAGACTTTAAAGTAATTTCTCTACCTTTTCAGTTTAGTGGGCTGTTAACTTCCATGAAAGCTTTGTGACTAGTGAGTGAAACTTCCTCTTTGGCAAAAGTCAATTGTTTAATTACAGTTGCTTGGGCAAATTGGAAAAAAGTTAAACTCAAGTTATGGCAGATCCTTGTTGAAGTTTGCCACTGTTTGAAAAGTTCGTGCCTGTGAACAGAAAACGATAGTGGCCTTATTTCTCCCCTTCATCAAATAAGTTGGGTTTAAAACCTTAGCCTTTGCAGATTACGAAAAGCAAACTAACCTACCACCGTTGTTTCTGTGTTTACTAGATAATTCTTATTCCGGTCTGCATTTACATTTGGTCACCTTTCAATTCTTATCATAATTATTTTTATTAGTATATTTGTTATTCTATTTTCACTTAAATGTAAATTTTTTTTTTAAATGTAAAATTCTGATTACATTAATAAAAGCGCCTTGATGCTTCCAGCTCTATGATGAGAAAGGCCATAATCTGGGTTGAGAGCAGGTTTTTTGTTCTCGTTTCCCCTTCTATGAATTTTAATGCTTAACTGTTGTTTTCTTTCAATTTGCAGAGTCACTTAAATATACTAAAGAAACCATAAAGGGAGATGCCAGTAAGTAGTGTGGGGACACAAGAAGCTGGTCTTAAATTTTTGATAAAACAGCGCTAATATCCATAATTAAACAGCATGTTGGAATAATCTGCTAATAAACATTTGATTCCTCTCAAAGCTATCACTTGATTCCTTCATTATCTTCTCCAATTTTAATGGAGACAGAGATTTTCATATCTGGTGTAAATCTCTCTTATTTTCTAACAGGTGAGTGCCAAGTCCTTCGGGCTGCTGTCATCGCTCTTTGTTGCATTGTTTTCGTCTTGCTCATTGTGATTGGTGCGCTAATATGGCGGTTGAGACGAACTGAGCCTAACAAAAAAGCAACCACAGTAAACAGTGGTATCCCTGCCCCATCTGGTGGTCGTCAAGTGTCAGAGCCTAGTGTTTATATGGAACTCCACCCCAGGCCTTCGGAAGGGAAGTCACGTGAACCTTCTGAGTACCAGTCATTGCAGGACACTCAAGTGACTTCCAATTATTACAATGTGGGATTCAAGAAAGAAAGGTCAGGGAAGAAAGACGGCGGAATGTAGGAGAATTCGCACAGTTGAATACTTAAGTCTCCTCTTGACGCTTGATTGATCTAAATTGAAGCCGCCCGGTAAGATGTGGGTCTGTAAGCCCTATAGACAGTTTGTTGTTGAAGATTTGGTTTAACGAACATCAGAACGTTCGTAAAAGCTAACCACATGATGAATTTTCGTAAGAGACTAACTCTATAAAGAAATTTCGTGAAAAACCGACCGTGTAATGAAACAAAGCAAGAGTTAGGAAAAATTTTATCTTGTAAATGCAGAATTGAACGCTTCTACACTGCATTACTATACTTAGCCTTTGTTGTGTACCTGATGATATTCGACCACATATTAACGGGGCACGGAAACACACAAACCTTTATACAAACTGTAGGAGTAACGCATGACAACTGAATTACCTGATGTACTGGTAATCGCTCATTATGAATGAAATTACATGCAGTAGAATGTAGAAAGGAAAATTTTGAAATAACTCTGAGTCACTTTTAGCCATGTTGCTCTTAAGAGGAAACGATTTACCCTGAATTGTGGCCTAAAAATTGGGTAAAATGTATGGGAAGTCGAAGAGATGCTCAGCCAGGAGAAAGTGCTCTTTAAATAGAGCAATCAGATTTCAGTACTGTGGTAGGAGTTGAATAAAGCAATGCACCGTTGAAATGATTATTTTGTCTTTCCACAGTCCATGTCGGTATCTTTTCGAACCAAACCATACTTTGAAGGAAAATATGTGGATTTTTTTTATTTATGTTTCAAGTGAAAGATTTATTTTGCTTCTAGAAAATGTAAGCAAAAATAGAAATACCATTAACATTAAATCGCCTTTTTTCCTCTTGATAGAAATTCTACGACCAAATCTTTGAGTCGTTCAATTGAAAATATTAGATAGTTTTAGATTTACAACCGCATCATGGACTTCAAATATTACTAAAGGTCTTGTGACAAGTACCTTCACAACAGTCGCAAAAATATATCGATACAATATCAGTCTTATGCCTGAAGCGTGACGTCGTGGACTCGGCTGATCAATCACCTGCTTTGTCTCGCCAATAAAAGAATGTTTTTGACGTCAGCAAATGACGTTTGCCTTTTTCTTGCCAAAATTAAATCTATCAAGTATGTGCTACTATTATTTGTTTTAACTTGGTTAGGGTGGCTTAATAAAAACCCCTAAACCTTGACTCTGATCATTTCTTTTTAAACCGATCGACCAGTGCCCCCCTTTTTGTATCACCCCAAGCAAGATGAAGTGAAGGGATCGATTGGATCGCCCCCCCCCCCCTCCCCGCAAGTGATTCTGTGCCTTCTTCCCTGAGGCAGATCAAGCTATAAATTCCTGCAGAACAGGGGTAATTTTTTCCGTTTTCCAAACAAGTGAAATAAAGGGGCTCGCGTCTCCACTTGCCTTGATGAGCCAAAAAAACCGCCTCTTTGTGGTCGGTAGGGGGTATAACCTGATAATTTGGTTTTGTCAACTGAGTTGATAATGTAAATTGGCCACCGTAAAGAGTTTCTTAAGAGATTCTCTATAAACTGTGGACCTACCTTGTCAAGATACACAAGTGAAAAAACATTCCCACGCAGGATATTTGAGCATAGGTTTTCCTTTCTAGATTCTTACAAAAAAGTTATTTCAATAAAGATTAACTTTAAATGTTTCAGCACACAAATCATGATTGACAAGTTCATTTTATAACCAGTGACGTTCGCACCAAGAAACAATGAAAAACAAAGAAATAATTTAGACTTCCTGTAATAGTGCAACAGTTGCGGGAAAAACACCAGAGATTGTTGTAGAAAGTTTTCAAGTCATTTTTTTTTTTTTTTTATATTCAGAAATTATTTTTAGATTTCATGATTGCTTCCGTTGTCTTTTGCCCGTAGATCATCCTTTAAAATAGTGGAGTCTAAACCCGTTTTGTCAACGCGTGATCTTTCGGTTAGCTGCTGAAATTCCGGGAATATTTATGATAATGAGTTTAATTGTAACTTGGCAGATGCGCTTCAACGGAGATGGTGACCTTTTTAAGATGCAAAAGGCTATTGAGTTATGAAATAACAACAGCGGCGAAATGTTGGAGTTTGATTCCGAGCTGTACTTCCGAGTGACTTTCTTCGCTATTCTTATTCCTCTAGGTTCCGGTGAGTTCTCTGTCATTTGTAATCTGAGCATACGAGTTAAGATCTGCACAAATTCACCGATTTATTTTTTTGGCAGTGACTCCTTAGATATGAGATAATTAAATTCCATTTCATTGCGTTCAGTTGACAAACTGTCGAGTCCGACCGAAAAATGTCAAGTTAATTCTATTATCTTCTTTAAAGCTTAAAAAATCTGACAAGTTATTTTATTTTGATAGAGTGAGTTTGGGAGAATTCTAATGGCGATTTTCAAACGTATCTCGCATAGTATGAGTTACTTCCTGTTCAGAGGTAACAACGGCTCATCGACTGACTTCGTCGCTCGCCTTTTCTTAGTTTCGTAAGAGCATAATCTTGTCTACTTGGTTTCACGATATTTGTGAAGCGGTAGCTCGAAAGAGATCGGAACTTTTGTCGAAACTTTTGTCGGAACAGAACAAGCTCGCTTCGTTATCGATAAAATATGACGGTCTCCTAAAGACACGGTCATCGCTCGAGGAGAGGTACCTTTGAAAGCTATGATTATAGGAGGAGTAGCTTAGAATTTGAACGATTTCGATTGCTTTCCTTTACTTTTACTTCAAACAGTTTCTACACCATATCGAGCCTTTGCTTTAATTTCCGAGTTGTCTAATTTCTTGAACACAAAGTTGTGTCATTATGCAAATTTGGCACTGATTTCAAAATACTCCATCAAGTTTCCATTTTGGTATACAAACTAGTTCGATACATTTACTGCCATTTAGTTGCTGCTGAAGGCAGTGGGACAAAGATACTATGACGATTATTCAGTAAAACAGCGCGAGCCAAATCAAAAGGGCAGAGAACTTCAAGGAAAAAGTAAACTGAAAGTTCAATTATGTTAAGAGGTTTGTCGTGACTTGGCATATTATTATTGACTATTGTTTTAACAAATGAGCAGGCAAACACGGCCAAAGTAGACAACTGTCTGACCAAGCGTTGGAATGAAGACATGTTCATCGTTTTATTCGAACATTATACCATAATCAAATAGAAAATACAATTTGAATTGAATAAAGAATGACTCAGCTCGCCTCAGACGTAGGTGTTCAAGTATTCGATGTATATTCATGAGACACGACACGGAATAACCATAAAATAAACAATCATAAAGTATTAATAGACATTTCATTCCTGTTAACTCATATAATTTGCTTCCACGCCGAAGGACTAAGATTTGCAAAGACCTTTCATGAAAATCCCGAATCGAGGTGTAGCTCTGAAACAAACTTCAACAACAGACCAAGTGAAAAAGCGTTTCAGATTAAAGTGACGTGTTGCAAGGAGGGCCACAAAAAATATGAAGAAAGATGTTCTTAAAGCATAGCGACCATAACCAAAATTTGCGTTCTAAAGTGAAATTTTGAAATGTGTCTAATTGAAAATGTTCTGGGAGTTAACTAGTTTCAGTAAATATTGGGGCACACTTCACCAATCGTTAGTCCAATCGATGATGTCATTGATAAATTTATCATGTTAAACTACTCTTTGCGTTTTCACCAACGACTAGCTAGAACAATTCTGTAGGGCCTGTTTACCACAAAGTGGGGGATCCCAGGTTATTGAGGTAACCCTCATAGCTTTGGTTAGAAAATAGTCCGTGCTTACACCCAATCCTACAACCCCGGGGTTCCGGGGTGAGGTTGTTAGACAACATGTGAAGGGTGCGCAATGCCGCTACCAGAAACTGGGATCATTTACACTCCCTCCACGGTTCACAATGAACAAATCACTACAGGATTTAGCCTACGGAATTCGAGATTAATCGGCTTCAACCTGCATTTGCACTACGGCCTTTTATCTTTGTTAGCCTTTGATTATTTCCTGGTATAACTCTTTAAACCATGTGACAACCCCTTTTCTTAATCACGTGACTTGCTTTGCAAGCTGAGTTATTTTCCCGCTAAAATCCAAGATGATGGCATGGTTACTAAGCATGCCACATTCAACATGGAGGACAGTATTCTCATTTTGAACCGACTTACTACATCTGTTTCATAACTTAAACGATCATAAAACGCCTAGGTATCCAGGTAAATAACAAGGTAGTTTTTCGGGCTGAATACATCCTGAAGAAATGGTATCGATAGTAGAAATGTCGTACTAGATATTAATAGTTGTTCATTTACCTTGAGTTAATATGGTTTTATGTCAAATTTTATAACTTTCTGTTTTTAACTTTTTTATAGGGGTATGTATCGATTTGGATCTTGGTTTGGAAAATGAGAGAATTTCAGATGGTAACATAACCGCTTCTTCAGTACAAAATGCCAGCACACCAGCCAAGAATGGTCGACTGAACTACACATTGGGATCATCATGGTGTGCAGGAACAAGTGACACTAACCCATATCTACAGATTGATCTACAGACACTTCA